TAAAAAATTAAAACAAAAAAGTGAAAAAAAAATAAAAAAGGGGTACACATGGGGGGCACTACACAAGGAAGCCATCTTAAGAGCTATCTGCCATCTTAGAAACCTTCGGGTTTCACTTTTACTTCCTCACTGAGCAAACCATTTCCCAGAAACCATGTGACCAACTGTCAGAAACCATGTAAGCAACTGTTCTTCCCACAGGGCAGATAGGTTTCTAGGCAATGGAAGAGGTAATGTGCCTCTCCTTTGCTGGACCTCTGCTTGCAATTGCAGTATACTCGCCGAGTGGTTGAACTAGAATCCTCATTTGCATTTAGGGCAGCTTCCGGGACACTAATGATTGGTCAATGCTCTAATACCTTATTTGCATTTCGGGCAACCCAGCCTGCATAAACTTGCCATTCTTCCTTAATAAACTTGAGACTTGATCAGCACCTCATCTTGTCTCCACTCTGTGTGTCTGTGTGAGTTTGTCCCTTTTCTTGCTCCCTCCCCCAGGTTACTGTTTGACTGTCCTGTGGATTGGGACAGAAAACAATACTAATAAAAAAATTGCATTCACTTAGAAGCATTGTATTTGCATGTCAGCAAAACAGCTGCACCTTTTTTTTTTGAATTACATGGTGGTATTCAGTTAACAGAACAATTATTTTATATAAACTTCATCAGAGACAACTGAAGATGAATAAACGACCATCCCCATACATAACTAATTTGTGCTGAGTACCAACAAAAACCTGCTTTAAATTTTCATGCCAATTTACAACCCCTATACTGTACCAGGCAAAGTTAGTGGCTATTAAAAATACCACCAGGACAGGGCTATCTACAGACACATTCAGTATTGTGTTAACTATACAAAAAAAGACACTGTACAGTTTAAAAACAAATATTACACAGCCTTATATTTCAATTTTTTCTTGAAAAGGAGTGAGTTGTGTACAGGGGGTTAAATGCTTTATACACAAGGAAAATAAACCTGCATTAGAATGAACTTATTCATCATCATCATCTTCATCTTCACCCTCATCTTCCTCTTCTTCCTCATCTTCATCTTCCTCATCATCCTCCTCCTCCTTTTTCCTGCTCTTTTCAGCCTTGAAAACTCCCTTTTTTTGCTGCATCAGGCTTTCCTTTAGCTTGGTATGAAGCAATATCCGTTTCATATTTTTCCTTCAGCTTAGGAGCCTTCTTTTTATAAGACTGTTTATCACCTGCAGCAGTGTTATTTCACATCTCTCCCAGTTTCTTTGCAACATCACCAATGGGTAGGCCAGGATGTTCTTTGATTTTTGGGTGACATTCAGAACAGAACAAGAAAAAGGCCAAAGGAGGCCTCTTGGGTGCATTGGGATCCTTGAACTTCTTTTTTGTTTCCCGTTTAGTAGGGATATAGGTTTTCATTTTTCTTTCATAATGGGCCTTGTCTGCCTTTGCCATATCTTCAAACTTTCCTTTCTCTTTAGCAGACATGGTCTTCCACCTCTCTGAGTACTTCTTAAAAAACTCTGAGAAGTTGACTGAAGCATCTGGGTGCTTCTTCTTGTGCTCCTCCCAGCAGTATGCACAAAGAATGCATATAATGACATTTTGCCTTTTGGCTTCTTAGGAACTCCTTTGCCTACGTTTACTTATCTTTCCTCTGTGAGAAACAGAGTCACCCAGTGCCCGTCTGGCTCTCACTTGCCCCAGTGCTGTCTCTTCAAGTTCTTTTATACATTCAATCGTGTCATTTAATTTGCAAAATGCATATTCCTACTTGTGTAGATTTCACCCCAGTCCAGTTGATAATACTATAAAGTTATCTTCAACAGATAATACCCCATTTTTTTCCCATTAATGCTTTGCCTCTCCATTTTTCTCCTTAACGTCCTTCCTCAGACTCTATTCCTTCACCCATGCTCTTCTCACACTATATCTGGTATTCATAACCATTTACTGTGTTTCTATGTCCTTTAGTCATTCAGTTTCTGTTATAGGATGTGGAAACTTGGTATATATAAAGTGGGGAATACAATGTCTATCCTTTATGGAGTGCTTTGCTTCACTCAGCAGTAAATCTTACTTATTCATTCACTTTATGTCAAAAAGCAGGGTTTTTTTTTTTGAGCTGTGTAGCCCTTTACTAGCAACTAAAATAAAAGGTATCTGTTGTACAATACAGATAGTAATGGACTATAACTGGAGATTTATTACATTCTAATACAGATAATTTATAAGTGCAATTATTTTATTAAAAAACTTCCACCCATTTTTTTATTTGTGTACAATTTGAAAAACTATTCTGAAAGCAGAATATATGTGCACAAGTCTGCAAAGAGTGCAAATTTAGGGTATGATAAAGGCTTTATGAGTTACTTTCAAACAACTGTCTGTGGTGACTGGGCCTTTACATTGTCATCTTTTTTGATCAAAAAAAGGTGACTGGGCCTTTACATTGTCATCTTTTTTTGATCAAAAAAAGATACCAGCCTTCCTTCCACTGCCCTAAACTATAAAACATTTTTTAATGAGTTGAAATTAGGGAAGGACTACACCTACTAGAAAAGAAGAGAAGAAAGTTCTATTGGAGGTTTCAGAGCCCCCAGGACCAGTATCTCTGTAAAGGCTAGGCTGGAACCCCGGACAGAGTATGAGTATGTACAGGTGGCATCCCTGAAGATTCAGAGCTTCAGTGGACCATGAGTGCTCCGGCTGCATAACTCACTGAACTGTCTTGCCAGTTTCTACACTGAATTGACTGGGCATAATTCAAAAAGAAAAAGCTCATATTCATTCTATTCTTCTGGAGCTCTGTGATAGCATTTAATAACACCCCAATGGGATGTCTTCCACATACAGTATTATGATATTTCTTCAAGAAATTGCTAAAAGATACAGGATCTAATTGTTCTATAATATTCATACCCATCTTATCTAGATATTCAATGGATCTATAAATCTCCCCGTGGGATTCATCATAGTAACTGTAATGGAACCTTGACCCCCAATGGCAGAAATCAGAAGAAACCACACAGAGATTACTAGGATCCACTAGATATTTACTGAAAAGTTTCCGAATTCCTGTTCTTTTGACTCACTCAGAGCTCCAACCAGTACAGGAATAATGGTAAACTCATCTTTATAGCTTTCCATGGCTTTAGCTGTGTATGGCAAATGCATTTCAATACTGTGTTCATCTTCATCTGTTTGCACAGACATGCATTCAAACATCCCCATTTTCCATAGTTCTCCATAAATCTTTTGTTCAACACGAAGGTCATACAAAGGTGTCCTATATATATCCACACTAGAAAGTGCACATCGAGAGAGGGGCACATGATGAGAAGGCCCAAGGATGAAAATTCTTTGGGTAATAGATGGATCCACTTGTTTGTAAGCATGGGCAGCATAAGACCCACAATACGTATATCCCACATGGGGTGCAATAATGACTCTAGAAGGTCTTTTTGTAGACTGTACTTGTGAAAGCCAACATTCCAGCTGTGCATTGAGCTGCGGTCCTGAGGCTGTGTACCAGATCCTGGCATGACTGGCTACCCAGCAGACCACTCAGTTGGACATCTTGGTGCCTGTGCCACTCGCCACTCTAACGGGAAAAGGCATGGTCTTTTTTTATGACTGAGTAGTATTCCATAAAATATATGTGCCAAGTTTTTGAATCCATTCATCTGTTCATGAGCATTTGGAGTGGCTCTACATCTTAGCAATTCTGAATAATGCCACAGTAAATATTGATGTGCAAGGACTTTTCCAATTAAGAATTCCTCCATGCTTTGAGTAGATACCAAGGAGTGAAATTGTTGGATCATGTGGAAGTTCTATTTGTAGATGTTTTAGAAATCCAGATTGTTCTCCACAGTAGCTAAATTTACATTCCCATCATCAGCATAAGAGAGTTCCCCTTTCACCACACCCCCGCCAGCACTTATCATTATTTATTTTTATAATCTTAGTCATTCTGACTGGGGTTAGGGGATATCTCATTGTTTTGGTCTCTAATCCCCCTAAACTGAGGGATGTTGAGTATTTTTTCATATGCCTTTTGGCAATTCATATGTCATCGTTAAAAAGTGGTTTTTTTTTTAACTCATTTTCCCATCTTTTAATAGGGTTAATCATCTTTTTTTCAGAACAGCTGGTTGAGTTCTGTGTATTCTGGTTATTAGCTCCTTGTCTGATGCATAGTTTACAAAATATATATTCCCATTCTGAGAGTTGTGATTCACAATAATTAGTGTATCTTTTGCCATGTAAAAACTTCTTAGTCTGATGTAATCCCACTTGTCTATTATAGGGATTATTGACTTTGATTTGGGGGTCTTATTTAAGAAGTCTTTGCCTACACCAATGTCTCCAAGAGTTTCCCCAGTGTTTTCCAGAAGCAGTTTTATAGGTTGAGGCCTTAGATTTCAATCTTTGACTCATCTTGAGTTGATTTTTTTGTCACAGGTGAGAGGTATGGGCTCAGATTCATCTTTCTGGAGGTGGATATCCAGTTTTTCCAGCACCATTTACTGAAGTGGTTTTACTTTTCTCAGTGGATTTACTGGTACCCTTTGTCAAAAAGGGTATGTTGAGTATATGTTTGGGAGTTTATGTCTGGGGACTCTATTCTGTTCCATTCGTCCACCTCTCTGTTTTTGTGACAGTGCTATGCTATTTTGAATGCCAAAAATTTGTAGTATATTTTTGGGCCTGGGAGTGAGATGCTGCCCACTCCACTCTTTATGGGCAGGATTCATTTGGCAATATGAGGTCTTTTATGATTCCAGAAAAATTTTATGATTGTCTTTTTTAGATCTCTGAAGAATGTGTCTTGTATTTTGATTGGGATTACATTAAATATGTAGATTAATTTGGCTAGGATTCCCATTTTGATTGTATGAATTCTTCCAATCCAGGAACATGGGATGCCCTTCCAGTTTTTTGTGTAATTTTTTATTTCTTTTCTTAGCTTTTCATAGTTTTCCTTGCAGAGATCTTTGACTTCTTTGGTTAGATTTATTTTTAGGTATCTTATACTTTTTGTGGCAATGGTAAATGGAATAACTTTTTTCTATTCTGTCTCAGTCTGTCTGCTGTTGTATGTAGACAACCTGTAGATTTCTGTATGTTTATTTTGTATCTTGCAACTTTACTGTTTTTATGTATTAATTCTAGGAATTTTTTCATTGATACCATTGGGCCTTCTATCTATACAATCATGTCATCTGCAAATAGAGAGAGATTCACTTCTTCATTTCCTATTTGAATGACATTTATTTTATCCTCTTTTCTGATTGCATTGGTGAAGACTTCCAGTACTATATTGAAAAAGAGTGGAGAAAGTGGGCAGATTTTAGTGGAAAAGCTTTCAGCTTTTGCTCATTCAGGATGATGTTCACTATGGGTTTTTTATAGATAGCTTTTATTGTGTTGAGAAATGTCTCTCGTATGCCGATTTTGTTGAGAGTTTTCATCATGAAGGGATGTTGTGGCGAGGACCAGCCTCGGTGGGGGTGGGTTATCTTGACAGAGGCGGCACAGGAAGGAAAGACTGGGGCCTCGGTGCCTTTTTCATGCACATCCTCAGTCAGACACTCCCAGAGATTGCTCTCCGTAGAGTGACAACTGATAGGAATCATTGTGCCTTTTTATTGAAAATGTGATACATGCAAGTAAACGTGTTCTAATGATCAGTTCATAAAGTTTTAACAGTAGGGATCATAGATTCCATTCAGGGTTGGATTAAGGGCGGGTCTATTATAGTTCAACAATTGTTTGATTGATGTAAGCAGGAATTTCAAGGAATGCAGTTTCGGGAAACAGCTCCAGCAAGCAGAGTTAATTATCAGCTGATGCTCAGCAGCAGCCATCTTGCGATTACTAAGTATGATGCTAAGAAAAGAAAATCTCAAGTATATGTATTAGTTCTTATGGATCTCAATAAAGAATAATACTTATATAATTCTATAGGGATCTAATTAGATAATTAGAACATGTAGCCTCTCACCCATTTAAAAAAAGAAGAGACAAAGAAGGACAGTATATAGTTTTAAAATGTATTTTATTTTATTTAAATTTATCTTATACATTCAATCACCACTATATATCACTTAGCTTGTAAAGTGAATTTTCTGACACTAGTAATACATTCCACACTAGTCCAGTTGGAGATATTATACATGTTATCATCAACAGATAATAATCCATTTCTGTGTCTCATAAATGTCTTGCCTCTCTATTTTTCTCCTTAATACTTTCCTCAGACTCCTCTTTTCTTACTCTCTTCCCACACTGTATCTAGTATTTATAACTATTTTCCATGTTTCTATATCCTCTAGTATTCCAGAGTCAGCCATAGAGTGCAGTCAGTCAATATATGTTAAGTGGAGATATACAATATCTCTTTTTTATAGCCTGGCATGCTTCACTCAGCAGTAAATCTTTCAAATGGTGGTGAGATTATATATCTATATCTATATCTATCTATATCTATATCTATATCTATATCATCTATATCTATATCTATATCTATCTATATCTATATCTATCTATCTATAGATATATATATATAGTGTTGTGTTGTGTTTTTTGGGTGGAAGGTTCTACAGATGTCTGTTGAATCCATTTTATTTATGCTATCATTTATTTCCTGTATCTTTTTGCTTATTTTTTTGTCTAGATGATCTGTCCAAAGGAGATAGTGGGCCATTGAGATTCCCAACAATTAGTGTGATGCAGTCTATCTCTCCTTTTAGATCTAAGACTTTTCTTCATGTAGTTGGGTGCTTCTGAGTTGGGTGCACAAATATGTACCAGCATTACATCTTCTGGAGGAATTAGCCCTTTTACTACTATATAATGCCCTTCTTTGTCTCTTCTTACAGATTTTGTTTTAAAGCCTATTTTATCTGAAATTAGTATCATTCTTTTAGCTCTTTCTTCACTTTTATTTTCATGGAATATCTTTTTTAAGAGCTTCAGGTTTAGTCTATGTTAAGTCTTTATCCATGAGCTGTGTTTCTTGTAGGCAACACATACAAGGTTTCTGGTTTTATATCCATTCAGTCAATCTGTGTGTCTTGATTGGAAAATTTAATCCATTGACATTCAATGTTATTGATATTTCTGGACTTGTTCCTACTATTAAGTTGGCCATTTCCTCAGTTATTTTTTATTCTCTTATTTCTGTCTGTGCTTTCTTTAGTTTTCCTGGTATAGCACTCTCTTCAGAATTTCTTGAAAAGCTGGTGTGGTGGTAAATTCTTTCAGGTTTTATTTGTCTGAGAAGATTTTTATCTTTTTTTTCCCCATATGAGGGATAATCTCACCAGGTATAATAATCTTGGTTGAAATTGTTTCCCTCTTAACACTTTCAATGTATCTTTCCATTCTTTCCTTACTTGAATTTTTTCCATTGAAAGGTATGGTGTTACCCTGATGAGATAACCTTTATAAGTCACTTGATTTTTCTCTCTTGCCAATTTTAGTATTTTGTGTTTTTCTGTGGTTTTGGCCAGTCTTGCTATGATGCGCCATTGGAGAGGATCTCCTTGAGTTGATTCTATTTGGGTTCCTTTATATTTCTTTTTTATGGATGTTTGAGTGCTCCTTTACAAGTGGAGAGTTTTCTTCCAGGATTTCATAGAATAGATTTTCAATGTCCTTACTAGTTTCTTCACCTTTTGGGATACCAGTTATTCAGATATTTGGGCATTTAATGAAATCTAGTATTTCTCATATATTATAGTCTTTTTTTTTTTTTTTAGGTGATTTTCTCTAACTTTTGGTGTTTTTTTTTCCCCTAGGTTAGAGTTTTGTTTTTTACATCCAAGATTCTATTTTTGTCATGGTCTAGTTGATTTTTAATACTTTCAAGAGCAGTTTTGATTTTATGTATTGCAGTATTCCTCTCTAATAGTTCCATTTCATCTTTCTTATGGTGTCCTGCTTCATCTCCTGGAGTTTGTTATATCTTTTCTGTTCCACCTCATAGAGTTCTGTCACCATAAATGTTCTGAATTCTTACTCTGAAATTTTGGTAACCTCTTGTTTGTTCAAGGGATGGAAGAGAGTTATTATTTTCTTTTGATGGAGACATATTTCCTGATTTTCTTATACTTGAGAATCTTCTACAACTTTTAACCATTTGGTGATGTATTCACTTTTTTTTGAGAGTTTTTTTGCTACAGATAGAGAGTTTTTTTGCTACACTTGCCAGGAAGATAGAGAGAGATAGAGAGACAGAAAGTGAGATATCACCCCCCCCCAGGGGTGATGGTCACACCATAATCCCTTCTCCTCCACTCTCCTCTTGGGATCCTGGGCATGCATGCACACGTACCTGGTGTGAGTTTCAGGCCACCGGGTCTGGGATTCAAACCGCAGTGGACTACATGGGAGTCCAGCGACATAACCATTACGCTAACTGCTGATTCTGTATTCACTTTTGAATAACTCTTTGGAGAATGTTTTTGTACTGGGAAGTACTTTGCTTTTTTTACTGTGAATTGCTTTTATGTGATGGTTTCTCTTCTGCCACAGTTAGTAA